ACGGGCCTGTACCTGGAGTCCAGGCGCCTGCTGCACTCCAATACCTGCCTCGATATGCGCGGAGAGGACTTCAGGTAAGCGCTTCATGCATGGGTGCATGGGGGGATGAGTGGAGGACTCTGGGTGGGTTGCGTCCATGGACGGATGGGGACAGGGTGGAGGCCTGCTGGTGAAAGAGCCCACCTGGGCTCTAAGATGCTTTGGTAGAATTTTAATCGCTTCAAGTGGGCGCCGCTCGTATACACTCCAGGCATGGTGTGGCTGAGAGCAAAAGCAGCCAGGTAGCATCACATCTGTTTCAATGGTGGAGAATTCTCAGGTGAACCTCTTTCGCCATCAGAGGCACAGTGGGCATTCCAGTCTCCAGAGTGGTGCAAAAGGCGAAGCAGATTAAAAAGCATGCCGGTCCATTCAGGATGTGCCATACCTGGCACCGTTTCTCACTCTATCCACCGTATTCAATCCCTCTTCTTCCACTCACACAGGGGCATGGTGGGAGTGACAGAGCTTTACAAGAAGCCAGGAACCGTGTGGAGGATAGGGGCAGTGGGGCAGGGCACAGAGAGGCACGTGATACCGTACCACACGCTCATTCAATGCCACGGCGTGCATGGCTTCATGTCAGGCGGCAGTGGGGACTATTACAAGGCCCGCTGGGCCTCTCCCGGTGCAGTAGGCTCACTTTCCTTTGCCTCGTCTTTCTCTGCCGCTGCTGCTGCTGCGGCGGTTGGTGCTGTTGGTGTTGCGTCGGCGGCTGCTGCTGGTGTGTCTTCGGGGTTTGCGTCGGGAGCGTGCGTGGATGGGGATGGGGATGGGGACGGGGGCGAGGAGGATGAGGAGGAGGCGCTGATGGGGAGGCGTCCTGCTGGGCTCACGTCAGTGTGGGACCAGAAGGTGTGTGTTCCGTCTGGTGCAGGGGGAAACAGAAGGTGTGGGTTTTACTTCGAGAGCGGCGCTTCACACAAGCTGTTCTTCTTTCCTTTCTCCATTGATGTGCTCTGTCGTTGTGTTGTACTCATGGTACCATCCCATTGCACACAACAGGACGCGCTTGTATTCGAGGGTGCTCCTCCAGCAGCGGTCAACCTCATCCTCACAGTGAGTTGCAGCAGTTGCCGTTTGCTCTTATGCACTCTCCTCCGTTCCTCTTTTCTCCCTAAAGCCCCTTTGGTCTCCCCTGTTCTTTCCGCACTCTCTCTTGCTCCCATATTCCCTCGTTCTCCATTCAGCCTCCCGCTCCCCCTTCACACTCCCATGTCCTTCAATAGATTTCCCTCTTTCTTCCTCATTCTCTCTCTTTCTCTCTCTCTCTCCCCTCCTTTCCCACTGGCTCTCCTTCTGCTCCCTCAACCGCACAGGAGAGTGACTCCACGCGCTGTCTGAAGAACTTTGTGCTGGCGCTAGACGAGATAGACCCCATAGATGACTGCACGGACGACGAGGTGCTCAAGGCCAGGTATGCTGTTCGTGCAGGTGTTGCGTTGAGTAAATTTTCAAAAGCAACACCAACTTTGTGCTGGCTCTGGACGAGATAGACCCCATAGATGACTGCACGGACGACGAGGTGCTCAAGGCCAGGTGTGTTGCACTTGCAGTATGCATGCACGACATGCCATGCCATGCAGTCTGCTGCGCAAAATCCGCATGTGAAGTGAGACAATTTTTTAGGCACCTAATAAAATGATTGCATCGATGGTGAGGTGCTCAAGGCGAGGTACATTGTACTTTCTGAAGAACTTTATGCGCCTCAGAAATCGTTTCATCATATGATGAGATACCGGGAAGCGAGGTGTGTTTTATTTAGGTGACATTTCGTTTTGTGCTCTTTTTGTCTTCTTTTCCACCATGAACCCCTCGGCGCATCGGTCCTATTTGAGTCGATTCAAAAATCGCCCCTGCATGTTTCCGCCTATGGTTGTGTTTCCCGTCTGCAGCATCCGCACCAGCGGCCTCATTCAAGTGCTCTTCAAGTATGGGTAAGCGGATCATGCCCACCTGTCTCTGCGCTTGCCACATTTCCTGACATCAATTCCGAAATCTGGCTGATTCCCCCAAACCCTTCCCAGCATTCCGCTAATCACCTCCTGCACACAATCCGTCCAATTTCTTCGATTTTCATCCGCTCTGTTCTTCCCTTCGCCTCTTCCAGTCCAGTGGTGACAGAAGAGCTACTTAGTAGGCACCTAAGAAAAACCCCATCCATTCCCTTCCTTATTCCTGCATTTCATTCATTCCCCCCTGCGCCCGTTTCAGCCCAGTGGTGGCAGAGGAGCTGCAGCGGCTGATTCGCTGTCTGGTCATCTCGGACATGCCAGACGTGCTCAACCTCAGGGGCCCTCCAAATCGCACATACCAGGTGAGCCTTGCCTAATCGGAGGTACGAGGTGTGATGGTGCCGCCGCCCATACCTTTTTTTGTGTGTGTTGATCACCTTTTCGCTCCCTCCCTCTCACACTCTCACCCTCCCTCTCTCTCTCCCTCTCTCTCTCCCTCCCTCTCCCACCATCTCCCCTCTTCCCCTCCTCCCACTTCTCAAGGACTTTGTGAGCGAGCAGAAGGTGCTAGCAGTGGCCGTCTCCATGCTCCAGATCATCCTTATCAGCAAGGGCCTGCATCTAGGATCAAATCCTCCCTCTTCCCCGCCTCCCGCTTCCCTTCCCCCTCCCCCTCACCCACCCCCTTTTCCCCGTCTCAAGGTCTTTGTGAGCGAGCAGAAGGTGCTAGCAGTGGTCGTCTCCGTGCTGCAGATCCTCCTCATAAGCAAAGGCCTCCCGCAGCGCTGCCTGAGCGACTGCGACACGTTCTTCGAGGGATTCGACCTGCGCCGCCTCTGCAAGCTCATGAACCGCTTCTTGCAAGCCGCGTGCCAGCAGTTCAGGCCTGGGCAGGACCAGCTCGCTCCGTACGTGCCGCTGCTGGACCAGCTGGTGGGGAATGAGATCTACACCTCGGGCACGATCATGGCGATTTTCGCGGATAATGAGAGGATTATATCGAGGGTCACTGTGGACAATGTGAGTGGTTTAGAGGGGGGGCGTGGGAGAGTGGGAGAGTGGGAGAGTGGGAGCGTGGGGATGGGTGGGGCTATGATGTGTGGGTTTGGCAAGCCGTGTGAGATTGAGTGGTGGTGGCATGTCATCAGCTTCAAATGCTCATCGTTGTTGTTTTCATCCGGGATGGGGTTGTTTATGGAGCCTTGGGGCCTTCTGCAAAACCTTGCCAATAAGTAATCAAACAGAAAAAACAAACCAAAAAACAAAAGGATTAGAGGGCCAAAAAACCCATCTACCCCACTTCTGTCACCTCCACCTTGGTCTCCGCCTCCCCCTTCCCCCCTCTCTCTCTTGTTGCCCACCCAGATCCGGCAGCGAGTGACCAACTGCCGCATGTTCCAGCGGCCGCGGGACATCCGCTTCCTGAACATCATCTGCAGCAGCGAGGGCGCGCCCGTGCGCTCCAACCAGAACGTCGTGGTGGACATTCTCCGAGAGAACGCCGATATCCTCGTGCAGGCCCGCCCCGCTCCTTCGCGGCTTGTTCAGGGCGGACAGACGCTCATTCTGAGGCGCTGGGATGGGCTGGAGGTGGATTGTGAGGCGTACGCGGATCTGCAGCAGCTGGGCCCACACTCTGACTCCATTCGCCGCACTCCGCAGGGTGTGTGTGTGTGTGTGTGTGTGTGTGTGTGTGTGTGTGTGTGTGGAGTATGGGCTTGATGGTCTTGCTCTGGGAGTGTTAGGCGTGGGGATTTAAGTCGTGGATGTGGTGTGGCGTGGTTGTGTGGCTATGGGCAATGGTTTTGGGTGGGTTGCTGTATGGATTTGTGGATTAAGCGTCGTTTCTGAAGCACAGCAACAGGCATCTAAGCACAGCGAACATTCTGTCTGACTCCATACATACACTGGCCTCTGAAGCGCAGTCCACGTAAGGCATGGGCCGAACCTTAACCAACCCAACTCCTTACCGTCCCGTTTCTCCCGTTCCGCACCCCCCTTCCCCACCCTTCAGAGGTGCTGTTTCTCTTCTATGTGGTGTCCCTGGAGCTCTACTGCACGCTGTGTCTGCAACGCAACCGCAAGGCCATAGACTGGCTGATAGAGGACAGCCACCTGTATGGGCTGGACTACGGCACGCTTCGCATGGTGGTCTTTAACGACGCCCTGCCCTTCTTCCTGCGCACCAACTGCTGCCGCCTGCTCACACGCATGTACCTTGATAGGGAGCCCTTTGAGCTGGTGTCACAGGGCAGCGTCATGCTCACCTGGTGAGTGTTGAGTCGACTTGAAAGCCAACTGCTGCTGCTGCCTGCTCACACGCATGTACCTTGACAGAGAGCCCTTTGAGCTGGTATCACAGAGCGTCATGTTCATCCGGTGAGTCGTTTCCGAGTCAGCTTAACTCAACCACAGCTCCTGCCACCTGTTCATGCTCATGTGCGCATGTACCTCGACAGGGAGCTGTTTGAGCTGGCCTCCTAGCAGGTTCCGAGCCTCCCGTGAATCAAACCACCCTACCACCACCAACCCTCCTCCCTGTGCTCCCGCCAGGCCCACAATCGACAACTCAGATGCAGAGACCCTCAGCAAGCCCGACCACGTGAATATGGCCATGGCAGACCCTTTTTTCCTCCTCCTTTCCCCGTTTCTCCTCGCTTTCCCAACACTATCCACCACTCCCCCTCTTCCCAACCCTGTGCTCCCGCCAGGCCCACAATCGACGACTCAGATGCAGAAACCCTCAGCGAGCCCGACCACGTGAATATGGCCATGGCAGACCCATTTTCCGCCTTCCCCGGGAAGGCGCCAGAGAGGGAGTTTGGGGAGTTGAAGGCGCGCACATTGGCTTACCTGCACGGCACGCGGCTGTCGTCTGCTTGCTCTGCGGGGCAGAGTGCGCTCACACTGGCCGTGCTGCAGATGGGTAGCATCATGCTGCAGTTCGGGCTCTTTGGGAACTTCTCTCAGGTGTGTGTGTGTGTGTGTGTGTGTGTGTGTGTGTGTGTGTGTGTGTGTGTGTGTGTGTGCGTGTGTGTGTGCGCGTGTGTGTGTGCGTGTGTGTGCGTGCGTGTGTGCGTGCGTGCGTGCGCGTGCGTGCGTGTGCGTGCGCGTGCGTGCGTGCGCGTGCGTGCGTGTGCGTGCGCGTGCGTGCGTGCGTGTGCGTGCGTGCGTGCGTGTGCGTGCGTGCGTGCGCGGCGGCCTAGTCTTGTTGACGTTTCCTGTACCTTTCCTACCCCGTGAGCCTGATTTCCGTGGTTGCAGGTGGGGTTGGTTGGAATGGTTGCAGCTTGCAACATGCTGTTGTGTTCTATATGCCAGAGTTTCTAAAAATGCATTTCCAAAATGGTTGTTTGTGGATTTCCTCTTCCCTTTCTGTTTGTGCTTGCTTTCATTGTTTCCCTTGTCCCTCACACCGCAACACACCATCCAAAATGCCACCCCAGGACTGGGACAGCTCCATAGCGCAAGTGGTGGCGGCGATCATCCCTCTGCTGGATGGCAGGTCGGAGCCGTGGGACGGCAGCTGCAGGCTGCGGTTTGAGAACCAGCACGAGCCACACAGCAGTGCTGTCATGGAGGTGAGTTTGAGGCGCCTCACAAGGAGGCGGGTCTTGAGGCACCTAAAAAATGCAGACTGAGATTTGAGAACTAGCACGAGCCGCACAGCAGTGCTGTCATGGAGGTGCGTGTTTTGAGACGTCTCAAAACTAAACTTGACTTTGAAATGTGTGCTATCCTTATGTAGACATGCGCATCAACTGGTGCATCAGCAGCTGGTGTATCCAACCACATGACTTCTCCCAAACACCCTGCACCCCCTCCCACCACTCCCCATCCCATCCCGTGCATCCCCACAGGCGAAGACCATCATGTGTGCCATGCTCATGTACATATTCGACATGCGCATCAACTGGTGCATCAGCATCGCATTCGACTGTTACTGCGACCTCGGAGATCGCACCATAGCCAACTTCTGGGACATGCCTCTCCTCCTCTCCCGCCCCTCCGACCCCTACTCCTCCGGGTATCCCTCCTCCGTCGCTGCAGTTACCACCTCCACCACCACCTCCTCCTCCGCCTTGGCTCAGCACACCTCGTTTCACTCCGCGTCTCTGGCTTCGTTGGATTCCGGTATTCCCAAGGATGCTGTTGCGGCGCTGCAGAGAGCATTGGGAGGGGAGAATGGGGTGATGGGAGGGGAGGGCGTGGGGAGGAGATTCGGTGCATCGGGACTGGAGGGTGGTGGCGGCAGGAAGGCGTATGCTGGCAATGGTGGTAGTGGTGCTGCTGGTGGTGGCGGTGGTGGTGGTGGAGGAGGAGGGGGGAATGGATATGGTTACGGCTCGGGTAACAGCAATGGCGGTGGCGGTGGCAGTGGCGGTGGTGGTGGTGGTGGTGGCAATAGCAATGCATTGATCATGAGGAGAAAGTCTCTCTGGTGGTCCACTCGTTTGAAGCTCGAAGCTGCTTCTACCCTCCGCGGGTTTGTCAGGCCGTCGCGAGTGGGGCCCCCTGATTCAGCAGTCTTCGACCAACTCTTCAAAGACCTTTTTGAGACGCCTGAGCTGAGTCCCTCAGGGGCTGTTTTGCGGGAGGAAGCAGGCGTGCAAGAAGAGGTTCGGTTGAGGGAGGAAGTGGGGGGCAGGATGGGAGGAGAGGAGGGGGGAGGCGGACGCGGGGAGGAGAGAGAAGCGAGAAGTAAATCAGTAAACCGGGTACCTTACATGATGAAGGTGCTTCTAGACCTGACTCGTTATAAGTACGCTCCGTTAAGAGCGCTCGCGTTCGCCCTGATCGACCGCTACATGATGGAAAAGGCATCCCTCCTGCGCAAAATGCTCTCCACTCACATCGTCGTGGATCCAGATGTGCTACGTCTGTACAAGCAGGTCGCTCACGACGTGAACATGCTACGGTCGCTGCACGGATGGCTGGGGAGCGATAATGAGTTGCTGCGAGGGGAGGTGCGGCGGCGGTGCTGCGAGGTGCTGTGGAAGTTCCGGGATATGTGCACGCTCAGCCAGGGGCAGAATGAGGCACAGGTGGTGAAGCACCAGACGATTCTCAAGACCCTTGGCGCCCACTGCTGCGCTCGTGAGTTTCCCCTGGGCTTGAGTGTTCTGGAGTGTAGGTGAAAGGAAATTTGACTGTGGCGCGAAAGAGACAGGAGTGTGGTAGCAAAGGAGAGGGGGAAGAGGAAGCTTGGGCGTTTGGAAGGGAAAGGGGGATGGACGTGTGGGGAATGAGTGAGGTAGTAAGAAGTGACAAAAGAGAAGTGAAGAGAGCATGTCGTTCTTTCTCTCCGTGGGCATCCCTTAGTTTCTCTTTCTGTTGTCATGGTTCAGTCCGCGTTCTCTTGCTGCTGCAGGTGACATGCTGCGCTTGCCCTTCCGCCGCGTGCCATCTCAAGTGCGAGGCGAGATGGACTGTATCGAGGATGAGGGGCTGCAGGCGCTGCTGCAAGCTGCCTACGAGTTCCTCACCATGGTACCATCAATGCCTCTGTGTGTGTGTGTGCGTGCGCGCATGCACTTGCTCGTGTGTGTGTGTGTGTGTGTGTGTGTGTGTGTGTGTGTGTGTGTGTGTGTGTGTGTGCATGTGTATGTGCGCTTGTAAGTAATTGGTCCACCAACCAATCACCATCTGCGTCAATTTCTATCCAACGACACCTCACAGCTCACAACTACTTGTCTTCATCTCATTTCGCCTCTCATGGTTCCTCTCCCCCTCCCAATGCCGCTGGCAGTTCTGTGGGGGAGTGGTGAACGAGGAGATCCAACTCACGCTCTTCCCCTTCATTCCCCTTATGCTGGCGCACCGAGGGCTGCAAGGCGTGCAGGTGGGGCGTGGGGCAGGTGGGGACTGGAGCCAGAGGTTGTCACGTATGCACACATACGTGCATCAGGTGATACCTGGTGCAGGTGATACCTGGTGCAGGTGATACCTGGTGTGGTGAGATCTATGGCAGGTGAGGTCTGGTGTAAGGTGATATCTGGGCATGCGCACTCCCATGCCTTCTCACAGCACGCATGTGCGTCATTGTGCATCTTCGCATGCATCTATCTATGCACACACACACACACACACAAAGATACGTGATAGAAGTTGAGTTTTGAGACGTCTCAGAACGCATCTTCACATGCATCCATCTATACACACACACACACACACACAGATACGCCTTTCCCATGCACCCATGTGGCATGAGCCTGTATGCACGCATACATCCACTCACGCACACACTCACATGTGCACAGCAGAAAAGGAGCACGGACTCAGTAACACTAGGGCTTGTCTTTCCACCCCCATACAGAACTACCTTTCACCTCCTCCCGCCGACCTCACATTCCGCACTCTAACACTCTCCTCCCTCCCGAATGGCCCTTGTATCAATTAAGTGGTGGTACATGGGAAGGTGCAAACACATGCAGAACAAGCAAGCTTCCTAACCAACACCTATCTTCTACCCACTTCCGCCCCCTTCCGTCTACCCTCTCCTCCCTCGCTCTCCTGCCACTCGTCCATACTGTGCCGTCTTATCTGATTGCTCTACCTGGCCATATTCCCACTGCATGAGCAGGTGACAGAGTGTCTGTGTGCCATACTCAAAGATAACTATGAGCTCTGCGCTCAGGTGAGTGGACTGTGCAGTGCACCAACCAACCATGCCATGCCATGCCATGTCATGCAGTCTCACAGCAGGGGATAAGATCTTGTGTGTATAACAGATATGTGCTGATAGAGAAAGGGACAATAAGTATGTGTCTAGAGCAGGGAATCAGAAACCGCTGCTGCGGTATGTATGTATGTATGTATGTATGTATGTATGTATGTATGTATGTATGTATGTATGTATGTATGTATGTATGTATGTATGTATGTATGTATGTATGTATGTATGTATGTATGTATGTATGTCTCTCCAAGAACCATGAGGCTCGGTAGCGTGTGAGCAGTGGGTTGTATAGCATAGCACGCAGTTCTGTATGTTACCATCCATATCTGCTTTCTCGTTTTTCATTCTCGCTTCCCCATGCCAACCCCCCCATTTCTCCTGCTTTCCCCCCTCCCCTTCCCCCATTTTCTCCCCGCTCTCCCCTCCCCTGCCTCAGTCCCACAGTGGGCCGGGACCTCAGGTCGTGCTGAGCAGAGCAATTCTTGATCATTTTCACAAATCCCCCTCCTGCTCCCCCCCCTCTCTCCCACCTGGCCCCATCCTAGGTGGGACTGGACCTCATCTGGTCGTGCTGAGCGATTGTTTATATTCCCACAAATCCCCTTCCCTTTCCCCCTCCCCTTCCCCCTCCCCCTCCCCCTTCTCCCATCTCTCTCCCCTGCCTCCATCCCAGGTGGGACTGGACCTCATCTGGTCAAGCTTCCGTCTCATTCTCAGATTCAACCGCCGCCACTCCTGGCTGAGGTTCCTAGAGGTGAGACTTTCGACTTTTTGGACGTCTCAAAAGACCTCATCTAGTCGGGCTTCCGTCTCATTTTCAAGTTCAGCCGCCGCCACTCCTGGCTCAAGGTTCCTCGAGGTGAGACTTTTGTTGACTAGGTTGAATCTTTCAGAAGGCGAGATTGCATCATGGCACTGCACTGCACTTCACTGCACTGCACTGCTCTGCACTGTTCTGCACTGCTCTGCACTGCACTGCACTGCACTGCACTGCACTGCCCTGCACTGCACTGCACTGCACTTCACTGCACTACTTTCCTCTGCACTGCAGCAGCGCATGTTTCAGAAGGTGAGAGACTCTGCTCGAAACTCTTCAAAGGTTCTCTGTCCACACCGAGAGGGAGTCTCCCAGCTCAGGTTCTTTTCCAGTCCAGGTCGTCCTGATACCCCGTTGCTGATGTCAGGGCGACCTGACATGACAGGCAGGTCGCCCTTGCAATGCAAAGCAGCTTCTTGATCAACCCCCCGTGGCTGCTCTGCTCTGGTTTCCCGTACGCTCCCTGCTTGGCAGACGGTGGTGGGTGGTGGTGGGTGGTGGTGAACGGCAAGCTTTTGATTGGCAACCAGGCAGCAGTGCCGAAAAATAGTGATAGGCCACACTACAGAAACTACCCAGCCTGCTCCAGACATGATGTTATCTGGCTTTTACCTCACCTCCTTTCCAAACTGCTCCTCCTTGACAGACGGTGGTGGTGGTGAACGGCAAGCCCATGGGTCGCAACCAGACAGCCGTGCTGGACATGGTGATTGATCACACGCACTCTGTTGCTGGCCTGCCCAAGACACCCGCGCACTGGAGGCGACGCAGGGAGCTCATGGCTGCTGGCGAGGCTGCTTCCAAGCCCCATGAGAGCCAGGTGAGTGAAGAGATGGTGTGGCTGGGGCAGGTGAGGAGGTGGTGTGGTCGGGGCAGGTGAGGCGATGGTGTGGTTGGCTTTGAGGCGCCTCAAAACAAGACACCCGCGCACTGGAGGAGGCGCTGGGAGCTCATGGCTGCTGGCAAGGCTGCTGCCAAGCCCCATGATTGCCAGGTGAGGCGCTGGTGGGTTGGGGCAGGCAGTTGAGCAAAATCTCAGGCCACATGCAAGCCAGGCTGTGTTTACATCAGTGCGGGGTTACTGTGCAGCATGTGTCTCTGTTGTGAGGTTACACGACATGTAGTTTGTCACATACATGCAATGTAGAATCTCTCGTGGCTGTGTGCAGTGCATGTGGGGCAAGAACCCACAGCACAAGGTGAACTTCAAGTGCTGTTGGCCCATATCCTGTTTGCCTCCTTCTACTTCCCTCCCTCTCTCACTACCTCCCTCCCTCTGTCCCTCCCTCCCTCCCTCCCTCCCTCCCTCCCTCCCTCCCTATCCCCATGACAATCAGGTGCGCTTCCATGCAGCGTACGTCTCTCTGCTCGCTGCGTGCTGCTGGGGGAACAACCCAGCGCATGCAGTGAAGGTGGGCGGGCTGGTGGGCCTGGGCGAAGTCATGGCAACTCTGCTCTGGCTCAGCTCTGAAACGAGAATGGCACAGAGGGGCAGAGAGGGGGAGAGGAAGGGGGAGAGGAAGGGGAAGAGTGAGAGGGGGAGTGAGGGGGAGAGGGAGGGTAGGGAGAGAGTGGGGGTGAAGGAGGGTAGTGAGAGAACGGAAGGGAGGCAGGTGGAAGAGAGGCAGGGTGTGGGGAAGGGGAAGTGGTTAGAAGAGAGGCGGAGGCAGGTATTGGTGCAACAGAGAGGTGAAGGGACAGAAGGAGGAGGAGGAGGAAGAAGAGGAGGATTGGCAGCAGCAGCAGCAGCAGCTGTAGCAGCAGTAGAAGCAGGAGGAGGAAGAGATGAAGGAGGAGGAGGAGTTGGGAAACAAGCAACTGGAGAAGCATCGTCAGCATCACAGCCAGGAGAAAAATCAGCAGAAGCGTCAGTAGCAGGAACAACAACCACGGAAGCAGCAGCATCAGCAGCAACAGCAGGGGCAACATCAGCGGCAGTAGCAGCAGCAGCAGCAGCATCCAAGTCTGATTCCACACAGTCGGTGATTGACATGGCAACAATTCGTCTGGTGAAGGCAGCATATGTGCGCCTGTTACATCAAGTGTACGTCACAGGCCATAGCGACCGAGCCACTGCTGAAATCCGAGACCCCACCAACGGAATCTGGCCTCAGGAGCTGCCACGACGGGAAGGGGGGGCAGCAGGAGGGGTGGCAGGAGGAGCAGGAGGGGTTGGGGAGGGAGGAGGCGGCGGAGGAGAAGTGGGATTGGGAGGGGGGGGGGTTGGTGGAAGGAGTTTTGGTGGGTCGGCTGGTGCAGCTGCCTCTGGTGGTGGTGCTGCCGTTGCTGGCATTGATTCTGCTGGCGCTGCTGCTGCTATCAGTCGCAGATCTGCTCCTGGTGCTACTCTTAGTGCTTCCGCTGCTTCTGCTGCTGCTGCTGCTGTTCCTCCCCATGGTCCCACCGCTGCTGCCTTCACAGGTTTCGATCCGACAAGAAGACACAGCCGGGATAACAAAGACAGCCGTTATCGGCCAATATCAATCGGCTCATCAGCAGCTCTCACAGTGGCAGCAGCAGGGCTCTTTCCCCTCAACCCCTCCTCTGCCGAGCCTCGCCCGTGCCTCATCGAGGATCTAATCTCCGAGCTACAGCTGGCAGCATCTGAGGAGTTTGATCATGCGCCGCCCGAAGGCTCCGCACAGCATTTCGTGGCAACAGCAGCGCTGCCCATGCTGACTTCCTACTTTAAACGCCACTTCATTGCTCGAAGGGCCAACCTGCCGGATTCCCACCGGGTGTTGCTCGACCAATTAGCAGACGCCATCTGGCACCTCTGCGGCAAGCTGCCTCCCTCGCAGCGCGACGCCCCCTTGAGATGTATCGAGGAGATGAAAGCTGCTGGTGCGGTTTCTAGATTTGACTACGGTCCGTCTTCTCTGCCGTATTTTGTCGATCGGGCTGCGGTGAGCCGTGCTCGAGGCACAGAGTTGCAGCGCAAGGGGCAGATTTTCAAAGCGAATTGGGTGAATTTCTGCCGCTTGTTCTCACAGAAGCTGGATATTTCCGACCTGCAGACCATGGAAGGGTCGGGAGCGCGACACCTGGCGCTCATGCTGAGTCAGCGCCGGCCGGTTGACGTGTCATACTCCCCGCCGTTCCACTACTATAATGTGGTGCCGCAGCTGACGAGCCTGCTGTCCAGCCCTAAGGTCCCGCCGCAGCTGACTCCGGACCTGATGGTTCGGCTGCTTCGGGTGTGCCGAGCCATGATCTACCTGACAGACGATTGGGATGGCAAGCCTGTGATGAAGCAGGAGAATTCTAAGGTTGTTTCAGGTGGAGGAGGGAGTGGTGGTGGTGGTGGCGGTGAGAATGGTGGTGCTGATGATGGTGGTGGTGGCAGCAGCAGCGGTGGTGGTGGGGGTAGTACTAGTGCTGCTGCTAATGCAATAAGTGCTGCTGGTGCTGCAAGTGGTGATGGTGATGGTGATGGGGGAAGAGGAGGGGGAGGAGGGGGAGGAGAGGGAGGAGGAGGAGGAGGAGAAGGGGGAGGGGGGGGGGGGGAGGAGGAGGAGGAGGAGGAGGAGGAGGAGGAGGAGGAGGAGGAGGAGGAGGAGGAGGAGGAGGAGGAGGGGTAGGAGGAGGAGGAGGAGGAGGAGGAGGAGGAGGAGGAGGAGGAGGAGGAGGAGGAGGAGGAGGAGGAGGAGGAGGAGGAGGAGGAGGAGGAGGAGGAGGGGTAGGAGGAGGAGGAGGAGGAGGAGGAGGAGGAGGAGGAGGAGGAGGAGGAGGAGGAGGAGGAGGAGGAGGAGGAGGAGGAGAAGGAGGAGGAGGTGGAGGAGGAGGAGGAGGAGGAGGAGGAGGAGGAGGAGGAGGAGGAGGAGGAGGAGGAGGAGGAGGAGGAGGAGGAGGAGGAGGAGGAGGAGGAGGAGGAGGAGGGGTAGGAGGAGGAGGAGGAGGAGGAGGAGGAGGAGGAGGAGGAGGAGGAGGAGGAGGAGGAGGAGGAGGAGGAGGAGGAGGAGGAGGAGGAGGAGGAGGAGGAGGAGGAGGAGGAGGAGGAGGGGTAGGAGGAGGAGGAGGAGGAGGAGGAGGAGGAGGAGGAGGAGGAGGAGGAGGAGGAGGAGGAGGAGGAGGAGGAGGAGGAGGAGGAGGAGGAGGAGGAGGAGGAGGAGGAGGAGGAGGAGGAGGAGGAGGAGGAGGAGGAGGAGGAGGAGGAGGAGGAGGAGGAGGAGGAGGAGGAGGAGGAGGAGGAGGAGGAGGAGGAGGAGGAGGAGGAGGAGGAGGGATGAAGGGCCAGCCTGAAAGGCTCCGAACAATGGGCAAATGGGACATGTTCGAAGCATCAGTACCAGTCCGATACTCCAAATCGTCCCTCGAAGCCCTAGCCCGCGTGCAATGCGGATACACAGACATGGGTCTGGCCACGTGCGCGGTGAAACTCGTCAGTCACCCGAGCCAGTGGGTGCAAGCGGAAGCAGTGAAGCTTGCAATTGCCCTCACAGACGAAGGGAACGGGCGTGTGCAAGCCACTATGTACTCTGTTCTTGTTCACGAGCCGGAGTTTTTTCAGACGGTCAAGAAGGTGCTTGCGGCGGCGTCGTCGACGGTTAAGTTTGTGAGGAAGGGGCTGGATAAGGCTGAGGTGAAGGCGAGGCGGGAGGAGATGGAGAGGAGGCAGATGCGCGTAGGGGGAAGGGGAGGGAGGGGGAGAGGGGGGGAGAAGGGTGGTGGGGGAGTGGGAGGGAGGAGTGAGGGTGATGGGCCGGATGGGGGAGGGAATGGGGGAGGGAGAGGGGGAGGGAGAACGGGTGGAACAGAAGCACACAGGGAGGGAGAGAGAGTAAGGCCAGAGTACAAGGGTGGGGGTAGGGGTGTGGCAGGTCAGAACCAAAGAGACGATCATATAAGGGTAAGCAGAGAGAGGGGAGACTTGGGCGCTACTACTACGACTAGATTCAATCGTGCTGGCAGCGTTGGCAATGGTGGTGGTGGGTATGGGTCTCAGCCGTTGAGAGAGGGGGCTGGTGGGGCAAATACAGAGCATGGAAGTTCTCATATGGATTCTGAGGCGTTTCCAGGCGGCGGTAACAGTGGGGCTGGTAGCAGCAGTGAGGCAGAGGGGGGGAGCAGAGAGGGGGCGAGGGAGGCATGGTTATGCAGGGGTGCTGCGGAAGCAGAGGAGGGGGGTGCGGAGAGCCAAGGGGGGACGGGCCGAGCTGCAACGAGGGCTTTGTTTCTGAATGCGGTGAGAATGATGAAGGAACGGGGGGGGTCTGCTGAACATGCGATGCACCGTCGAGCGGAGGAGGAGGAGGGTCACAATGATAAGTTGGAAAGAAGGGCAGTTGCAGCGAATGGGGATGTGGTGGGTAGGAGGCTGCTTGGCAGTCGACGGGGTAACAGCAGTGGCAGCAGCGACAGCAGCAGTACCAGCAGCAGCAGCAGCAGCAGTATAGGTAACGAGGGTGGGGAAGGTGGATTGGAAATGGAAATAGAGATGGAAGTAAGACCTCCTGAGGCCGAATCCCCTCGTCCTGCCCTCAACAGTACGCATCCTGCTGACGATACTGTTGCAGATTCTGAAGCAGGAGTAGAGGCAACGACTGAGAGCATGGATGTAGGTACTGGTATTAGTGGGCATGCGGGGATGGTTGTGTCTGGAGATGTGGGAGGGGTGGAAGGAGAGGTGGGTGCTCCATGTGTATCCCCAGGAGACCCTTCCTGTGGTTCTCAACCCAGTCACAACGGTCGTGATAGCACACAGCAGGAGCTCTCATCGTCAGCAACAGAAGCAACAGGAATGATGGGTTCACATCCGTCTGGTGCATCGGATGGTGTTGGTGTTTCTCCCGCTTCGCAGCCTCCTTCCAGTATCAGCACTTCATCAGATGGTCTGATCCATGGAACAGGCGCGAGATCAACCAACAGTGGCGCCGCCAGGTCTCTCGAGGGTCCTGGGGTGGAGAGCGGAAGGGACAGCATTTGCGAGAGCCACGAGAAGAGTCGGCCTGGTGAGAGGAGTGGGGCTGGTGAGAGGATTGGGGCTGGTGAGAGGAGTGGTGGGACTGGAGAGGTAGCTGTTTCCAGTGAGAGGGGTGGTGCTCGCTTGGGTGGTAACATGGGTGCCTATGCCAGGATGAGGATCAAAACTGGGTCGATTGATCTAGGGGAGACACTAGAAACACCAGCAACAACGCCAGGGCCTGGTCTTGGACTTGGTACAATGGACCCTGATGGACTGGAATCCCCTGCAGAAACACCGATGACGGCAAGAGAGGAGGCAGGAGGGGGGTCAGGAGGAGGGGCAGGAGGTGGAGGAGGTGGAGGAGGAGGAGGTGGGGGAGCGTCGGTCGCAGGTGGAGAGGAGGAGGATTACCGGCTGTGGGATGTGGAGGAGAACGAGGAGGGGACGAAGGCGACGAGTAGAGACACGACGCTGCATAAGAAGGCATGGGTGATTCTCTCTGGGCATGTTACCAACCTCTTAAGAATGCTCCAGCTCATGTGTGAGGGCCATAACGCGGATATGCAGCGCCTGCTGCGCCTGCAGGAGTATCCTGGCCCTCCGAGTGCCGGGATCGAACGGTCAGGAGGAGGGGATGATGACGGGGCTGCCGGGGGCGGGGGAGGGGGAGTGGGGATTGGGGGAGGGGCGGGAGGGGGAAGGGGGTGGGGCGGAGGGGGAGGCGGGGCGGTGGAGGGGAAAGGGGTGAATGTGTTGCAGGAGATTATAGTGTTTCTGGAGCATTTGCAGCCATCTCTGGATAAGAATCTTGGGCAGAAGAACCCGCTGCTGGTCGAGATTGCTCTGCAGGTATGCGGAATCAAACGAGCTGTTTTCCTTCCCACGAGACATTGTAGATGCTAATCGTAATAGGCCTGTGTATGTGAGGTGAATTACCCATGCGCGCAGATGGACGTGTTGCCATACCATACCATTCTAATCCGGTGCAGGTACTCGTCATTTGTATCATTCTCATCCTTCACATCATGAAACCGTCCCGTACCATCCCCTTCTCCTTCCTTACCCTTTTCCCCTTCTGTTCTTTCCCTTCCCCTCGCTTCCCCTCCCATACCCTCCTTTTCCATGTCCTCTCCTCCCGTGCCCACTGCCCACCTCACCGCAGGCGCTCAACACGCTGTTAGAGGCCATCCAGGGCCCGTGCTTTGAGAACCAGCTGGCTCTCGTGCGCTCCAACTTCCTCTCCATCACGCAGCGAATGCTCGCCTCGCTCAACTACCGCGAACAGGACGAGCGCACGCCGCCCGTGCGCTACTCCCCGGACGTCATCGCGGGTATTCTGAGCTACACTGCGCTGGGGTCTCGACCCGCAGGAGGAGCTGGATGCCCCATGGTGAGCGCTCTAGATTGGAATATTTTTATTGTGAGTTGGTGCTGTGCTGATGTGTTCTTGTTTTTCGAGGGCACTCAGCAATATTATGTATGGAAGGAAGTGGCGAGTCAAGGGTTTAGGGTTGCTAAGCGCCCGCCCTTTCTTTTCCTCCCCTTCCCACCCCTTCCCCCCATCCTCTTCCTCACCAGCTAAGCGCCAACGACCTGCGGTGCTGGCTGCGCAACGGGGTGTTCTCAGTCTATCTCTCTCTACTCGAGGAGATCGGCACCAACAGCGAGATCCCCAGCAAGATGGCTGCTGTCATCGACTTCACCTCCCTGCTGCACCGCTGCCGCCAGCTGCAGCAGGTTCTCAGGGAGTACAAACTCGGATGTCCCGACGCGGGGAGGGATTTCGAGTCGTCGCAGAGCCTGATAGCGTTCCTGCGGCAGATGCTGAGAGAGTACATGGTGGCTCGCGGTGATCCTATGGAGCATGGCGGTGCAGCAGCACTGGCGGCAGCGGCGGCGGCGGCGGAGGGAGGGGTGGGAGGGGCAGCAGAGGCAGGTGAAAGTTCTGGGTCGCTCTTGCAGTTTTTGGCAGCGAGATTACGCGGTGGTGGTAGGGGTGGTGGTGGTGAGGGTGCTGTTAACCATACTGCTGCCGGTGCTGGTGCTGGTGCTGGTGCTGGTGCTGGTGTTTCCAGTGCTGGTCCTGCTGGTGATGGTACTGCTACTGCTGATGCAACTGGCTTGAAACGCCTCAAGCGACTGCTGGGTGGGAGTAACGGTAGGAGTGACTGTGGGAGTAACAGTGGGAGACTTGCTAGTGCTGTTGCCATGGCTGCTGCAGGGGGGTTGCGAGGCGAGGACTGGAGAGGGGATGTGCGAGGGGAAGGAACATACTGTGCTGCGAACAGTCAAATGGGAAGGGAAGAGGATGGGGGGATCCGAGGAGATGAAGCTGTGAGGATCTGGCGAGGCGTGGGTTTAGGTGTGGGCTCACGGGTCGTGTGGGGGAAGCCCATGGAGAGGGTGGGAGAGGGGTTGGTGGAGGAAGAGGGAGGGATAGCAGCAGGAGTAACAGCAGCGCCAACAGCAGCAGCAGATATTTCAACAGGAGCAGGGGTAAGAGGAGCGCAGGTAGAGTCAGGTGTAGAAGGGAGAGGAAAACGAAGTGTGGGTGTTCCACGAGCCATGTCCTTGCCTGTTCGTGCTGCAGGCCCTCTAGCACGTGCAGCTTGTGCGGAGCATGATAGCCGGGGAGGGGATGCAGCAAGGAGAGAGAATGAGCAAGTTTCAAGGACAGAAACAGGGGCAGGGGCAGGGGCAGGAGCAGGAACAGGGACAGGAAATGTTGCATCACGTGCCTTGCTTGGAGCACGTGGCAGCTTGTCATTTGCTGGCCTCCCACGAACATCTAGCTGGCGATCCAGTCTGGCTGCTCTGGCACGGCAAGGCTCAGGTAGAATCTCAGGTGTTTTCAACAACGATGGAGGAGGTAGTGGTTCAGGAGTGGGTAAAGGAGAAAGAGATGTAAGAGGATTAGGAGATGGAGGAACAGGAGGTGGGGGACTGAAGATAAGGAAGGGTCCTCCCCTCGCTCCTCTATCGTCCCTATCTTCCGCACACAACAAGTCCCTACCCTCCTCCTCCACCGTCCCGAATCTCTCCTCTCGGCACGCTCACATCAGCACTTCTGCTCCCTCCATCTCCCCCCAGTGGCGTCCCCCCCTTTGGAGCACATTCAATACAGACTCCCTGCTCTTTCTGCTGCCAGGCGAGGTGCTCAACTCCCTCATTATAATCATCAAGCTGGATGATTTCGACCGTTGGATGTACTGCAGCGGCGAGCCCAGCCAGAAATCTGATTGGTCCACGTCAGCAGATGGATCGTCCGGGGGTGGGAGTGGGGGAGGAGCGGGTGGGCGAGGGAATGGGGGAGTGGGAGGCGGGGGAGGGGGCGGAGGAGGGGGGGGGAGGAGGAGGGGGAGGGGGAGGGGGAGGGGGAGGGGGAGGAGGAATGTTGAGTTTCGCAAGGCTAATGGGGAGATCAGGGCCATTTGCCACGTGTGCATATTCCGTGCTGAAATGTGACAAGCCGCAAAGAATCGGAACTCTGTGTTTTGAACACACCCTATCCGTTGGGGATCAAGACCTGGAAGTTTTCTTCAACCAGCGCTCGTGTGCTATCGAGGTCGTGCGCGACGGGCAGCTGGAAAAAGTTTACTTCCCGCTGACCCCCGAATGCAGGAGGTTATCTCAGGACCCGCAATGGACCCAGGCTGCCCTGCAGGAGCTGTATGACGTTCCAAGAGAAAACCCCATTCAGGTGAGTGATTGGGACCGATTTGTGAGAGTTCTTACGACTCGCTCACAAGGACCCCCAGTGGACCCAGGCTGCCCTACAGGAGCTGTGTGACATTCCAAGAGAAAACCCCATTCAGGTGGAGAGCTGGCTTCTTTGATTCGTAATGCAGCGGAACCGTGTGCAGCAGAGGTCATGTGCTGGCACAGCATGAGGCTTCTGCAAGCTGTCATACGGTAACACTGCGAGTGCATGGCGGTCCAGCAGTCCTTGCCAGTAGCACGAATTTTTTGAGGCGCCTCAAAAGACAGTCCAGCAGTCCTTGCCAGTAGCCGCAGTCGTATGCATCATCTCATGAAGTCGGATGTTCCATTCACAAGGACATGAAGGGAATGAATGAGCACCACAGTGACTCTTCCTACTAATCTAGCCCCCTTGTACTCATTCATTCCCCTCTTCTCCTCACCCCCATCCCCACCCGCATCCCCATCCCACAGAAAGTGCAGCAGTTTATGGCAGCGGCGCGGCTGCTGGTATACAAAGTGCAGCACTACGAGCGCATGAGGCTGCGATACGCCTGGTCCGGCTGGCTGCAGGCCCGCATGACCCACCTCAAGCGCGCCCCCTTCTATCTCTCCATCGTTATAGTCACCATCCTCGTCTTTAGCAACACCCAGCTCAGCACCGCCCCTGCTGGTAACCACCTGCAGGGGTTACAGCAACAGGGGGGTGCTACCCGTGCTGCTTCCACTGCTGCTTCTGCTGCGGCTGCAACAGCGGCAGCAGCTGCTGCTGCTGCACTCAGGGCGTGTCCTGCCCAGGAGCTTCTGGGTGTGATGCTACCGAACGGCACTGTAACAGGAGCCAGCAACAGCAGCTGCTGCAGCAGCACCGCTGGAACCTTCTCAACTGCAACAGCTGCCGCCACAGCAGCAGCAGCAGCAGCAGTAGCAGGAGGAGCGAGTGACGCAATCTCTCAATCCCTGTGGGAGAGGCACGGGCATTTGCTGTGCTTGGTGCTTGTGCGCTTTATAGGCCTGTTGCAGGTGGCAGCAGGGGCGCTCACCCTCGTGGCGTTTGTGCTCATAGAGTCGCCTCTCCTCGTGCTGCACGAGCGACGGGCCAAGGAACAGGCCATCTCAGGGGCGCTCTCCTCTCTAGGTGAATTCAACATTTTTTGTGCTCCCCTGTGCTGTGTCCCCGCTCCCATTGTTATGCCCCTCCTTGTTTTTGCCCCTCCTTGTTATCCCCCTCCTTGTGATGCCCCACCCTGTTGTGGCCCACTGCTGCCCCCTTGCAATGTGATGTGCTGTCCTGTCCACCGAGTCACACCTCGTTGTTGCAGAATTACTGTGATGTAACAGTATCTTCCTCCTCACAAAGCTCTTACAAAACTCCAGTTTCTGCACCGTTTCCCCGCTGCAAGCCTCACTGGTTCGTCTTGTCCCATCCCCCCTCCGTCTTTCCACCTTCCTTCCCTCCCATCTCTCTTTCTTGACCACCTTCCCGTTCGGTCCCCCGTTCTCACCAGCTGAGCGGGGGCACACAGAAGCCTTGGGGCAAGGGGAGGGGGAAGGGGAGGAGGGGGCGGGGGGAGCTGAGATGTGGGAGGAGCTGGAGGGAGTGCCCAAGCGCCTGCTGCTGCAGAACCGCGACTTTTGGTACATCATAGCCATGCTCGTCGCCAGGTGAGTTTTTGAGCTCGGCGCCAAAAGTCTCTTGTGGCAAAAGCCGGAGGTGAATTTGAGTCCTCTTAAGAGTCACCCCTGGGTGCCTAAGCGTCGGCTGCTGCAGAACCGGGGCTTCTGGTAAGTCATTGCCATGCTCGTCGCCAGGTGGGTGCAGCGATGCTCGCCACCAGGTGAGGGGTAAAAAAAAATTCGGCAACTCATAAGCAGGTTGATTGGACTGCTGGTAGTACATGATCGGATCGGATGCATGTTGGCAGGGAAATGTTGTTGCACCATGGCATTGCAAAGCCGCTCGCCAGATGAGGATTGTTGAGACGTCTGAAAAGTCGTTCTGAGGCGTCTCAAATGCTGGTAGTACGTGATCGGATGCGTGTTGGAAATGCTGGCAGGGAAATGCACTATGTCACCATGTCACCATGTCACCATGTCACCATGTCACCATGTCACCATGTCACCATGTCACCATGTCACCATGTCACCATGTCACCATGTCACCATGTCACCATGTCACCATGTCACCATGTCACCATGTCACCATGTCACCATGTCACCATGTCACCATGTCACCATGTCATTGCAAAGCCCCTCGCCAGATGAGGATTGTGCGCTTCCATTCAATCCTCATCTGTCATTCAATTAGAACTCTGTCTTCCCTGTTATGTTTCCTGCTATTGTCAAAACAACTTGCACCCAGCGCGTCACCAGTTCGGGTCACTGCCATTGTGCCCCCCTTTTTCCCCATACCCCTCTCCTCATCCCCTCTTTTCAATCTGCTCGACTTTCTCAACTACCACCCCTCGCCAGCCATGGTCCTGAGACGTCTCAAACCCACATACCCCTCCCCCCATCCCCACACCCCCCTTTTGCCCCTGTCCCCCATACCCTCCCTGCCTCTCCCCCCTCACCACCTTCCCTCCCCCCCTCTTCAGCATCCTGGGAATAGTCTCGTCGCCCTTCTTCTTTGTCTTCCACCTGCTTGACTTTCTCATCTACCACCCCTCGGGAGCCATCGTGCTGCAGTCCGCCTACGTGGGCGGCCCTCTGCTCATCCGCACAGGCCTCGTGGGAATCCTCGTGATCTTCATGTATGCAGTAGTCTCCTTCCTAGCCTTCGGCGGGGACAGCGATTTCGCCTGCACGACTCTCTATGGGTGTATAGGCTCTCATCTCGTGAACGCGCTTTCGAGCTCCTCGATCGGAGGGCTTTGGAAGGAGTGGGATGCGGTGCCGGACTCGATGTTCGAGGGGGTGCGCGGGCAGCTGCGGACGGCGTTTATCGTGTCGTTCCTCATCATCTGGGTGTTCCTGCTGCAGAACATCTTCACTGGGCAGATTGTCGACGCGTTCACGTCCATTCGTGACGAGAAGGCGGCCAAGGAGAAGGATCTAGGTGAGATTGAGCCGCCTCTATGCCCGTTTCCTTACACTGCTAGTTTTAAGCACTCCTTACACGAGAAGGCGGCCAAGGAGAAGGATCTAGGTGAGTGGGAGTCTCTTCTTGGCCCTCTTCCTATCTTTCTTCCCAGCTCGTGCAAAGTATGTGCCATGTCTGCCCTATTGATCAGCAGAAACACGGATTGATACAGACCAGCCCTGCCGTGTTTTCACGTCCCACAGGCTCAAAGCTTCCCTTTTCCTCTTCAACCCACTCTGTATTGTGCCATCCACTCTAAGCCATCACCTCTGCTTTCTTCTCTCTCCCTGCTCCTCAACCTCTGTCCTTTTCCCCTTGTTCCCCGCCTTCAAACGCACGCCATCGCGCACGCACGCACCCAACCATCTGCTCACACACCCACCCATCCACTCACACACCCACCCATCCACTCACGCACCAACCCCATGCACTAACCACTCACACACCCGCCCATCCTCCCACACGCGCCCGCACGCACACGCAGACGACAAGTGCTTTGTGTGCAGCATTGATCGATTCGCCTTCGAGCAGCGGCTGGGCGGGTTCGTGGACCACGTGAAGCACGAGCACAATGCGCTGCACTACCTCTTCTACATGGACTACCTCCTCAAACGCAACCCCACAGAGTACACAGGCCTCGAGTCCTTTGTGCGCGGCCGCCTCGACGCGCGCAACGACGACTGGATCCCGATTGGTCGCGCCATGCACATCGACCGGTTGAAGCAGTTCCGGGCGAAGCAGCGGGGTGCCAGCGAGGGCATGGACCGGGTCCGACATGTGCTGGATCGGATGGATGCGAGAATGACAGCGCTTGAAGCCGGGATGGAGACGATGAGGATTGAGATCAACCGGTCGTCGTCTCGGTCGTCCCGGTCGGGGTCCGGTGTGGGGCTTGCGAGTGCGAGTGTCGGCGGTGGTGGTGGAGGGGGGGGCGGCGGAGGAGGGAGGCGGTCGCAGGGGATTCTGGCACGGTCGTTGACGGGGGGAGGAAGTAGCGGTAGGAGGAGCAGCAGCAACAATAGCAGCGGAGGGGCGGGAGCTAGTCGGTCGTCGAGCTTTGGACGGACTGGGAGGGGAAGGATGATGGGATCCATGTCTCTCAACCCGAATTCGCAGCTACATAATGAAGAGGAGGAGGAGGTGACTGGTGGAGGGGATATGATGTTTGAGCTACGGAATATTCATTCAGACATCCCAATCTCTAGGGCGTCAACATTGTAAGCTGGAATTGTTTCTCCATTTTTTCCTTCCTTTCTTTCTTTCTTTCTTTCTTTCTTTCTTCCTTTCTTCCTTCCTTTCTTCCTCTCTTCTGCAATGTTGCATTTTCTCATTTCTCTTTACCGTACATCTTGCACTTGTGTGCAAATGTCACTGCTCTGCCTGTATACCCTTGTTGAATAATTCTCAACTTTACCCTCCTGTGCTTTTGCAGGCCTGGTCTGTATGGTGGCTGGGCATCACCCTCGGTTGGCTAGAAAGAACTGCCATAACTAACCTGCGTGTGTGCATGAGGGTCTCACAATGCAGCCTGTTTATGTTGCTTCTGTCTCTTTTGTGCCTTGAATTTTTGCTTGCCAGCGCTCAATCAGCCTCATTCAGGGAATCAATCACCTTAATGACTCGAAAATTTTCATGAAAATTTTACAGGCCCTAATTTGTCATTGTAAATTACCTGGTACACTGATTATCAAGGCAAACTTAGGGGGAAATAGAATTTCCCTTATTCGTAAGGGTTATGTTATAGGCTACGCTGATGTTTCAGTATTATGTTTCCTTAGCGAGTATTACCCTGAAGAGCAGAGTACAGATTCTTCGGGGCCAAGGTTCGAGGCAATTTTGTTCGAAAAGCCCTAGGTTCGTAAGGACGCGGTGCAGATCGGCCCGATATGAGTACGATTGCGTCAGATCGGGGATCCACCATTTCCAAGAAGCCGCGAGGGTATTATGATGCAATCGCAGGCAATCTGTCGATTGCGATCGGAAATCCGATCGATTGCGATCGATCGCCTCGATCTTACGCAATCACTTGCGATCGTTTGCAACCGACAGACTGCCTCGGATCGCGAGGTTTGGCGACCATTGCGAATGGTAACCCTTCCTGCCGAAAATTTTAGCAGCACCATTGGATATCGCGGTTCAGACTTTCCAGACGACCCTAAACCCCAAAAGGGGCTACGTTGTAAGTGCGCGATTCAAATTTTCGCCACTTGTCGCCAGCTCTGCAGGGAAGGAACGAGTGAATTGCACAGAGCCCTCGCGGCTGATGATCATTTACTTCCCCGAGATTCATCGTCTGATCGCGCGGCTCGGAACGCAATCGACAGATTACTTAAGATCGGGGCAATCTCATACGATCTGATCCGACCCGACTTGATCGGACGATCTGAGGCGATCGATCGCTCGATCTGCACCGCGTCCTAATGGTGGCAGGAACCTATGCCAAAACGTACCACACTGCATCAGATAGGACACCTGCAATTCGAACTGGTGAGGAGGTGGCCTTGGAAGACCCGAAGTGGAACCTAGGAACCCTTGAACTTGAGGTCTGACTAAAGCTCCAAATGCGCCCTCAAATCTGTGGGAGCCAGAGTGCCAGCGAGCCAGCCTTTTCGGTGTGACCTCCGAACCAGGGCTGTCGATTCAAAGGCATTTTCCCTTAGTGCCCCGAACATTCCGGGTTATGTGCGGCGCAGCTCGACCATTTTAAGGGTTCGATTCGACTGGCACCCGTGCCAGTTAAGGGCATCGTTTGGCCCTTCCCCGGACGCGTTAAGTGCTCAATCTGGGCCGTCCCCTGAATCTAAGTTCTACGTTCGATTCCGCAGACCCCCCCCCCCAAAATCTTGCGAAACACCCCCTCCCCCTACCCCCCCTTTCCATGAAAGTTGCACAATAAGGCGCCAGGTGGAGGATGTTTCACTCGATTTCTATCCAATCTAGTGTGTGTAGTGTCGAGGTCAGCAGATGAGTAGAAATGCAGTAGGCAGTGCAGCTATAGTTGTAGTTGGAAATTGTGACATACAGGTTGACTGGAGTAGTTAGTAATGAAACGTATGTGATTTTCTTGTCTAGGACGTTGTTTAGGTTGGTAAGTATACAACACTTTGGAGCCCGGATTTCAAGTTTACACTTCGGCCTGCACCCGTGACCGTTAAGGGCAAAAATTGGTCACCTCGCTGAAAATCAGGGTCAGAATTTCAGCAGCTGAGGGCCTCAAGTTCTGCCCCCAGGGTTATCGACATCCCTGCTCCGAACCGATTGTGGGTGAGGTGGCACCTGCCCGTTGAAAGCAAAGCACCCACCCGCACGTCGGAGTCTATTCCCACAATCGCGCCAAGAGAACAATCGGGCAACATATGAAAAGGTATGTGCACACAAGTGTAGCAGGTTCCGACACATTCTGGTTCTTCGACTGCGTTTTCGGAACTTCCGAGCCGACTTCTGGTTTCCGAACCTCGTTTTACGTGTGACTCAGTCCAGCTTCAAGGCTTCCAAGCCTCCTCTTCCCCTTCAACCTCAAATTGAAGTTCTTTTACCCAACCGTCCCGAATCAGATGGCGGCCTGGAGGAGGTTCACGGCTAGCTGCTTGTGGCTGTGGCTATGGGACAAAAAGTAAAAGTCCGTTTGATTGCGCTTTCTGCCCCCCCTGGCAGTTGGTCCAGGTCAAAATCGAGCGCGACATTTCTTTCTGTGAGCATTTTGCGCCCGCCCGGCGTACCCACAGTCAGGGCTCAGGATGCTTGATGGATGGCAAGGCAATTTCCTCCGGGAAAAGATCATGCAGAGGCCGAACAGTGCCAGAGGGGTGATCGACCAAGGGTCGAGAGGCCCGGAAATTACCAAACCGCTGCAAAAGAAGATATTCACAGAGGGGTTTCGTTTATCGCAAGTAATTCTGTTACTAGTAGCATGCGCTGGCTCGCATTTTCGCTCGCGTGTCGTTTAGCGAGCCGACTCTGCTGGGAACTCTTAGGGCAGCAAAAAACGAAAACCCGTAGGGAACCTGGATGCAATTTCGGAGGATCAACCCTAAAAAAGGGGACCTTCCTGGTATTTAGGCTTGATGTCTCCCGAGGCGCATCCATTTCCGAATGGGTAATATATTTTTTTACTGTGCTTTTCGATCGCGTTGGTGATATGTATCACCCATAATATAATATGTTGTACGTACTCACGATTTGACACGCCGAATATTAATTCCAGAACAAGGCGACGCGCGCGCTGTAGTTGACGGCGGTCAAAACCCTTATTGGAGAAGTTTTACACGTAATTCGGTTTCTTCAGCAATTCTCTTTACCTCACGGTTCGGCTTGTTCGCCTAGTCGTGCGGGCAGCTCCGGGTTGAAATCCTACGGTCGAAATTTTCCGGTCCTACTTCGATCACCCCTCTGGCACTGTTCGGCCCCAATTTGATATTTTCCCATTTCTTCCAACTTCTTGAAACGTCTGTGAAGGCTGATGGCCCATCGCAAGAAAGGGTACACTACACTGAGGATCTTGTGTTTCTTGTGTTATTGAGGGCACGCGTGTACTCAGTATTTAGAGGGAGTTGTGCACATGTAATGCACACTTCGTTTCTCAAATTTGTAACCAGCCGTTCTTGATACGTTTCCCTTGTTCGTGCCTGTGAGACGAACCGTCTCTAAAGTGGATGTCGCACATATTCCTTCTCGTTGTCATTCTTTCGGCGGTGCTTGAACCGTGTTCCTTGTCCTTGTCTGAGGATGCCCAAGTATTCCTTTGTTACATACCCTACCCAACCATCCCTATTCGTAAGCAGACATTTTGGTAACGTAAAGCCACCTCATCGAGACCTTCCCGGGTGCGTTGAAGCTCTACAAATGTTTTAAATAACTTGCAAGACGACTATAGCGGGAGTTTGAGTGTACAGTACTTAACGCCAGCGAAAGCTGTTCTGCATCGCGCTGATTAGAGTCGTGCTGCCAACCTAACCTACACCACGACAACCCACCCACGGCCACAAGCCTCTAATCTTGCTGGTCAAGAGCCATGAAGGGCCATCTGCCTCTCCCGATCTGACAGAATAGGGACGCCGCGACGCGACTGGTCGAAGTGTTGACGTTGATGTGCTCGGAGCGAGGGAGTGTTGAGAGGAGATGATGGCAATGGGTATGGGATGCTCCTAGACTAAATGAAACGAGATGATAGATTTAGCATGTGTGTCCGCTTGCGAGTTCCGACTGTGCAGTTCTGGAGATTATTATCCCTGTGACTCGCGCTGTCTCCCCAGTCCTCCTATTTCCTCGCTTTCCTCCTGCCTGTTCCCTCTCTAGTAACCTCGCAAGACCCCTCATCTCACTCCTGAGTCGTTTAGAATCGCAATAACTATATAGCGCTTACCTATTACCGCGATGCGCGCGCACACAGCCCTTCGACAGGGTCCTCGAAGCGCGTCAGCCCTGCAAGAACGAATCAACCCGCGGTAGTCATGACGCTCGTCGTCGTCGCTTGCCCCGCATTGCCCGACAACAGTAACCCGCATTAACCGCCGCATTCCCCGCCGTCTGCTGCCTTCGTCGTCTCCCGTTGATCCCCGAAACCACTCTTGTGTTTGTCAGCAGTAGTAACCCTCTTGTGTGTCCAAAAAAAACATAAAAGATCATAATAAATAATCATATCGGCATTAAATTACGTCTTGTGTCGCCTTATTTATAACTGCCCCTTATCACTTAGCCAATCCGTAGCCTTTAAAATCTTGATTGCTCGGAGCGCGACTCGGAGGTCGGCTTAAAATCAGCCAGCAATTCAACCAGCCATTTAGCAGCCATGGGGGCGATGACGTCATCTCTCGCGGCGAAATTCGCGTTCTTTCCGCCGACGCCGCCGTCGTACTCGATAGTGGAGGACCCGGTAACGGGCAAGCTGCGGTTCGAGGACATCGCGCCGGCGGAGAACGTGGAGGTCACGTTCCTGGACACGGCGCGCGGGCAGCGCATCGCCGCCATGTTCGTGCGCAACCCGCGCGCGCGCCTCACGGTGCTGTACTCGCATGGCAACGCCGCGGATCTCGGACAAGTGCACGACCTATACGTGGAGCTTAGCAACATGCTGCGAGTTAATCTCCTCGGGTGAGACGAGGTAGCCCATTTATTGCTCCGCGAGCGGGAAGCGTCGTCGTATTAGGGTATAAGAAAAGGCGGGGACGAGGGGAGGGGGATGGCGAGGGGATTAGAGTGGGGGCGCGGAAGGGGGGGTAAGGGGAGTGGGACGTAGGGGAGGAGGAAAATGGTGAAGATCAGGCGGGAAAGGCGATAATGATACTGAAACAGTGAAATAGTGGCATAATGAATGCAACTCCCGTTCTGAGAATTCGCAAAAGTAACTCCAGTCCGGTCTCGCAAGGAGGAGGAGACTCAAGCAGCTGCTCTTTGCTGCTCTCGCGACTCCTGCCTATCTTAGCCAAGGCAGGTTGTTCCGAACTCTCTCTCTCTTCCCATCAACCCCCTTCCTCCGCCCTTTCTATCCTCCGAAACACCCCGCACCCCACTACACCGCTCTCAATCCAACGCCTCCCCCATTCTCACTTTCTCTCTGTGAACGCGTTGCATGTGCCACCGTGTGCGGCGGAGAGCGCGGTGGGCGAATGACGGTGCGGGTGACGGGTGGATGGGTGGGTTGGTTCGTGTGTCTGTGGGTGTCGCGTGCGTGTGTGTGTTTGTTGCCTTGTGTTTTTCGTGGCAGGTATGACTACACCGGTTACGGTGCTTCATCTGGCAAGGTACGCATAAGTGGCTAGTCTATGATATATGCGCCCCTACCATCTTCCATTTCTGTGAGCGGCAGGTATGACTACACTAGGAGCTTTTTGTGTGCCGTTTCTTTTTCCAACCCTCTCCTATGCCCTCTCCTCTTACCAGTCCTCGTTCCTTGTTCCACCGCCCCTCTCCATGCATCTCCCGTCTCCTCCACTTCTACTCCTGCATAACCCACCGACCTCTTTACTGAATCAATCAACGCTCCCCTCTTGCTATCCCCCGCTTTTCTTTCCCCCATTTTCTATCTTTCTCTCCGCCCATTCCCCCCTGCTGTCCCGTGCCTGAGTCCCCTCCTCCTCCTTTCCCTCCTCCTCCTTCCCCCCTCCCTCCCCCACTGCGTCCCCGTCCCCTTCTTCCCGCCTTCACACCCCCTTCCTTCTCCCCCATCCTCAATCCACAAAACTCAACACATACACGGACGTAGCAACTCCCTATCCCCATCTCCCCTCTCACATCAATCTCTCCACCCTCCACCCCCTCTCTCCCCCCCCTCTCTCTCTAGCCCACGGAGTTCAACACGTACGCGGACATAGAAGCCGCCTTCACGTACCTCACCGCACAGCACCGCATTCGACCGGAGGACATTGTCCTGTACGGCCAGTCCGTGGGCAGCGGCCCCACCGTGGACCTCGCCTCCCGCACGCCTCGCCTGCGCGGCGTGGTGCTGCACAGCCCTATCATGTCCGGGCTGCGCGTGCTGTACGAGGTCAAGACGAGCTTCTTCCTCGATATTTTTACGGTGAGTCGCTGTGGGTGGGGGCTGGCAGTCTTGTGGGGAGAGGTTCAGGTGGGAGTTGAGGCGTGGTGCTGCACAGCCCTATCATGTCCGGGCTGCGCGTGCTGTACGAGGTCAAGACGTCCTTCTTTCTCGATATCTTCACGGTCAGTCGCGCTGGGGTGCAATATGGGACGGGAGGGAGGAGAGGGACGGGAGGGAGGGAGGGAGGGAGGGAGGGAGGGAGGGAGGGAGGGAGGGAGGGAGGGAGGGAGGGAGGGAGGGAGGGAGGGAGGGAGGGAGGGAGGGAGGGAGGGAGGGAGGGAGGGAGGGAGGGAGGGAGGGAGGGGAGGGACTGAGGGTGTGGAGCCTGCGCGTGCTGTACGAGGTCAAGACAAACCAGACGTCCTTGTTCCTCGGTACCTTCACGGTGGGCCGGGCGTGTGTGCAGTTCGATGGAAGGGGTGAATGGGGAGAGAGGGGGAGGGGCGAAGGGTGTTGGGGCTGCCTGTGCTGTGCAGCGGCAAGACCGCCCTCATTCTCAACGCCCTCCCATCGCATTCCTCATTCTCTGTCTCTCCCCGACCCCCTCTGTCTTTCCCCGCCCCCATGTGTCCTTCTCCATGTTTCTCTGTCCCACTCCGTCCCTCGCTGTTTCTGCCTGCCTCCCTGTTGTCAGAACATAGACAAGCTTCCCAAAGTGGAGTGCCCAGTATTTGTCATGCATGTGAGTGTTGTAATGCACACACACACACACACACACACACACACACACACACACACACACACACACACACACACACACACACACACACACACACACACATACTTACACTCACACGTACATACACACACATTCGCATATGCACACACATGCATGCCCGCATGCATGCACGCACGCACGCACGCACGCACGCACGCACGCACGCACGCACGCACGCACGCACGCACGCACGCACACACAAAGCCACACACCAGCGCCCACACTACACGCTCGTGCATGCACTTGCCCCCGTGCACAGACACTGCCTCAAAAACCCTTTCTGAGTCGACTCATAAAATCACCTCATCACACACACGCATATACACAGTCAAGATCTGAGTCGCTTTTGAGAATTCTCAAAAGCATACACAGACATGGTCTACATTTTTTCTCTCATGGCAACAAAAACAAGAGTACCAGAGAGCCCGCCGTTTGAGAGCAAGCCATGATGAATCACGACTCTAGTTTCAAGTTGATACTATCAACTGTGGCTAGCTTATAACAACTATCCCATACGTTGCATCCCATCCACGTTCCCCCCACGTGCCACCCAGCTGTGCCATACCTTCCCTGCTTCCCTGCAACCCCCTCCTCCCCCACCCAAGCCCCCGCAAGTTCCCCCCTCCTGTTCCCCAAACTCCTGGCCAATCTCCCCCTCCCCTCACGCCCACCCGCCCTCCCCGCAGCACCCACCCAAATCAAACACCCGATCCCTCCCTCCACCCGTCCCCCGACTCCCCTCCCTGTCCTCCCCACCTATCCTCTGGGCACGGCATACAATATGATGAATGTGTCCCGCGGGTGAGGTCTCGCAGCGGTGTGCAAGCGATAGTTTGAGCCACTGTTGCGTCAAGGGCGCGTGGCACTGCTCTCTCCCTTTGAAACCACCTTGGCCCCATGAACCCTGATAAACTCAACCCCGATCGCTCAAACCCTTGTTCGATTCAACTATTGCACCTCTGCACCTCTGCACCTCTGCACCTCTGCACCCCTGCACCCCTGCACCCCTGCACCCCTGCACCCCTGCACCCCTGCACCTACCTGTTGACTCGTCTCCCTGCCCCTTCCCAGGGCACGGGCAGACGACGTGGTGGGATGTCTCCTGCGGGAGGGGCCTAGCAGCGGTGGTGGACGGTTGAGTCCTCTAACCCCCGCAACTCCTCTCCTCACCCCCTCTCCCCCTCCCCTCCACCCAGGGCACAGCAGATGACGTGGTGGATGTGTCACACGGGAGGGGCTTGGCGGCGGTGTGCAAGCGGCCGTTTGAGGCGCTGTTCATAGAGGGCGCGCGGCACTGCGACCTCGAGTTCTTCCCCGAATACCTCAAGCAGCTCCGCCGCTTCATTGCCTTCCTGGACCAGCACCCGCCGCCGCCGCTGGCTGAGGGCGAGGAGGACGACATCGCCCGGCGCGGGAAGAAGGTGAGATTTCATTCTGCGAGACTTGCAACTGGGCCTGGGAAAAGTGCATTTAACCCTCAACCCCTGCGCACCACCCGCCGCCCCGCCGCCGCTGGCAGACGGCGAGGGAGAACGATATTGCCCGGCGGGGAAAGAAGAAGGTGATTCTTTATTGCTGTCTACTTTTCGTGCGTGCTTGTGCGTGCACGCGTGTGTTTTTGGGCGCCTGGAAAATCTTCCTGCTTCACGCGGACCTCAGACGTGGGGAGATTTGTGATTGCACGGGGGGGGGGGCTGGGGAAGTCTGCTCTTGAGTTTGTAAAACATCTCTTGCTGGGTCTTCCTTGTGTGGGGCGTTGCTGGGTATGGAGGCAGAATGGGGTGGGGAGAGAGGGGGTTGAAGAGAAGTTGGTGAGTGGGGACCCCTCCTCATTTGCCTTTCTCATTCCTCTGTCTCTTCTTTGCTTCCCCCCTTCTCACACCCTCTCTCACACCGCTCCTGCTTCAGAAGCCCTCCACTTGAGGATGGAAAACACCGCTAGTGGGTCTGCACTCCTTCCTCTCTTGAGACGTCTCAAAAGTCTCCTTCGCACTCCCTCTTTCCCACCCACTCCCACCCGCTCCTGCTTCAGAAGCCTTCCTCCTCAGGATGGACAACACCGCTGGTAGGTCTGCGCTCCTTCCTCTCTCCCGCCCGCACACCCTCCACCTCCTCTTCCTCTTCCTCCTCTGGAGGAGGAACACCCCTTAGGGGATCTGCTAGTGCTCGCTCCTCTCTGCACTTCTTCTCCTCGCCTGCACCTTCCACTACCAGCAGCGGTGGCGGCAGCGGCAGAGGAAGCAGTGGTAGTGCTACTGATGCTGATGCTGATGCTGGTGCTGATAAGAAGCCTGGGAACAGCATGAATGGTGGTAATTGTGCTGGTGATGGTGCTGGTGCTGGGGCTGGGGGGGAACGGGGTGGTGGTGCTTTTGGTGGGTGGAGGGCACGTCTAGGCCGGCCGTATAAAGCACCGGTATCGGAGCTAAAGCAAGCTGCTGTTGCAGCAGCTGTTACCACCACCACGGACAGTAGAGGTGGGGACGGTGCTGCACATGCAGCCGATACAGCAACCACATGTGATGAGTCGATTTTTGAGTCGACTCAAAAATCGACTCATCTCGCTAGAGGTGGGGACGATACAGCAACCACAGCAGCGCCAGCAGAAGCAGCAGCGGCAGGAGCAGAAGCAGCGGCAGCGGGGGCAGTGACAATGGAAGATTCATGCAGTCGTCCTGCTGCTGTAGCATCAGGAGCAGATGCAGTGGGCGTTAAGGCATAAATGGGGGCCATAGCTCACCTGCACAGATTAGGATGAGCAGCTTATGAAGAGCAAATGCTGCTGGCTCTTTTGCTGCTGCTGCTGCCGCTGCCGCTGTCGTTGTCTCTGCCGCTACTGCTGCCGTTGCTTTTGCCACCGCTGCTGCTTCTACCAACGTTGCTTCTGCTAATTTATCGCCACAACAGCCAAAGGAGCCACAGCTACGGGTGGTTTACTGCGACGCAAACAAGACCTAAAGACTCCAGTGTTTACAGGCATGACTCACTAGCCAAGAACACTAAGACCTCATCTATTGCAGTAGTCGAAGATGCAAGCACCAGTTTCTTGCTAGGGATTTTTCAGGGTAGGGAGCAGGCTGCAAGACTCTGGCATGTAGAGGGTAGTGGTGGCACTGTCATTGGTCATGCAGTTCCTGCATGTTGCGAACAAAGCTTGCAGATGCTCATGCTCGTGCTCATGCTCATTCTCATGCTCCAATGTACCGTATGTAGAGTCACTTCCTCCCACTTCCTGTTGAAAGGAATGTGTTTCTGTGAGTTATGTAGTGCTGATGCTTTTTTCACTTGTTGCATGTTGTCTGTAAGCTTTCTGCAGCGTTTTGCAACTTATTGATGAGCTACAGTAACTGTTCATTCCTGTTCATTACATTTTCGTTGCATAATCTGGGTACATCATCACTCGTCTCATATGTTAACATGGTGGAAACCATGATGTAAACACAGTTCATAGAACACTACTATTGAAAATTAAGAGTCACACACAGGTCAATTCCCTCGCTCCACAGCAAGGGAACATGGGTAAGCTGCCACTAGCATAGCCGCATCTGCAGCGTCAGCCGGCAAAGGAAGCTATAACAATCCGCAAATCCGACCCACCCCAGCCCAGCCCTTGCCACACACTCTACCCTAACCTATCCTGGTCCCCCCTGCCCCTCTTCTCTCCTCAGTACCAGTAACCACTTGGTTTCTTGGGCAGCCACCCTCTCTCAGTACTTGCCTTGAAGTCCCAGTGAAACGTGTCTGTGGTCCACACACACACCCAGGGGGAGGGGGAAGGGAGGGAAAGGGAAAGGGAAGTGGTGAGGGGGAAGAGGAGCAGGGTAGGAGGGATAGTGTGCGAAGAGAAAGTGTGAATGGTGGGCGTTTGTGTGCGTGGAGGTGTGCCAGTAAAGCACAAGCTCCACTATGTTGGTGTTGCTTTTGAAAATTCTCCAAAGAGAAACGCAAGTAAGCTCCACTCACTCGACTTCTTGATCTTGAGCGACCAGAAGAACCATCCAGCAGTGGCCTGGGCGTAGGTCTGCATCTGCGCTTGCGAAAAGAGCTGCTGCTCCGCTGCCGTAGGCTTGGTATACTTCATTGCGTTGCTGAACTCTCCGATCAGCAGCGGCCGGCCGAACTGCAGTGCGGGGTGGGGGGTAGTGGTGTGTTCAGAGAGGGAGGGGGTTTGTTGTTAAGGCGCCTCAAAAAGAGCTGCAGAGCTGCTCCTCCGCTGCAGTGGGAGTGGTGTTCTTCGTTGCGTTGCTGAACTCTCCGATCAGCAGCGGCCGGCCAAACTGCACAGTGAAATGGGGTAGTGGTGGGTGAGGGAGGAAGGGAAGGAGGGTGGATTTGAGAGAATATTATGCAATAAATTGGGAAGGTTTGCTTGGATGCCAAACACAGACAGAGATAACTATACGCATGCACGCACAGACACACACACACCAACACGCACACACCGACACACCCACACCCACACACATCCACATCCCCACACCCACCCCCTCCCTCTCCCCCCGACACACACACACACACTCACACACCTTCTGATAACTGGTGATATCCTGTGTCCTCTGCATCTGCAGCCACGCAATCTCCTCACTAGCCGAGGCAAAGTTCTTGCTCTGAAACACGTCGTAGAAGTGGCTTTCGACAAACGTGTTGGGCTCGTTGATGGTGCTCATGATGTCGTACGGGCCGTACTGCCCCTCGATCGAGACATACGCGCACGGACTGTACTGCCGAATGATGTTGTAGCCCTGCGTGTAGTATGTCTGAGGGAGAAGGGGAGAGGGAGCGAGAGGGAGGGGAGGGAAGAAGAAAGAGGGGCGAGACTGAGAGCATGTAACGGTGTTGGCCCTGTGTAACAACCACACACGGGCTGTACTGCCGGATAATGTTGTAGCCCTGCATGTAGTAAAGTATGCGGGGTGAGAGAGAGAGGGGGGGGGGGGGGGGGAGACGAAGGAGGACGAGAATGAGAGCATGTTACTGTGTAAGGAACATGCGCTCAGGCTGTAAGAAATGATGATGTAGCCCTGGCCCTGCCTGTAGTATGACTGAGAGGGGAAGGGAGAGGGAAAGGGGAGGAAGGGAGGGGGAATAATAAAGCAGGAAGAGGACCGGAGGGAGAATACAGAGAGCAGGGTTCGGAGGACGTTGTAACCATGCATGGAAATTAAGTGCATGGTCTGTAACTGCTGAATGGTGTCGTAGCAACATCTTATGCCACATCCTCACCCTCATCCCCCTCTTCCTCCCCATCCTCATCCCCATCCCCTCCCCATCCCCATCCCCATACCCTCCCCCTCACGATCCCCCTCTTCCTCCCCATCCCCCTCACGATCGCCCGCTCCCCCCACCCATCCCCCCAGCACCCACCTTGAGCATGGGAAGCGGCACGTCAAGGCTCGGCTCATTCATGAGCCCCATGCCCATCCACGCAGGGTTGCTCCCGTACCGCTTTGCAATCCACCGCACCGCTTGCAGCGTCTTCGCCTTGTTCCCAGCCTTGGCGAATTCCGCATACCCGAGCCTCGACCCGAACGTGCCGGACTGTGTCCCAGCCACCATGTGCATACTCAGAAACACCCGGATACCATACTTAGTCCCCATTCTCATCGCCCAGTCGACGTATTTCCCCATGCCGGGAACAAACGGGAAGTCTGGGCGCGGTTGGTAGATGTAGTATGGGACTGGGATACGGACGGTGTTGATTCCCTGAGAGCGCATGTACTGCCAGTCTGCTTCAGTGATGAACGTTGATCGGATGTTCTCGATTCGACGGGTCTTGGCGCCTTGTAGCTGGTATGCCAGTTGCCAGTCGTACTTGATGGTCTTGATCTGCGGTGGGGAAAGGGGAGACAAGGCAGTGGGTAGGTGGGTGGGTGGGGGAGACAAAGCAGTAGGAGAAGAGTGGGGTGAGCGGGGAATCGAGGAACAATTGTGGGGTATGGATAGCGACCATGGCGTCTTGTTACTGGTATGCCAGTTGCCAGTCGTATTTGATCTGCAGTGAGGGGGATAGGGGTGGGGGAAGCAGCGAGTTGGAGGGAGGGAGAAGAGTAGGATGAGAAGTGGCGTGGGCATGACGACAACAGCAATAGCTGGCAGCGGCAGGTTAGGGATTGCATCAATGCAATGCATGACAGGAAGCCTTTAACACCATCCGTTTGACCTGGTTCAGTCACCACCCCACGATACCAGCAACCCTTCCCGCTCACCAACCCTACCTACCAGCCCCCCCCGCCCACCGGCAACCCCTACCCCCCCCTCCCCCCCGCCTTCCCCTTCCCCTTCCGCTTCCCCTTTTCCCCCGCGCCCTGCAATCTTGATGTTGAAAGCGAGGTTGGTGCCGAAGGTCGCGGAGTCCCCAAGGTTCACCAAATCCGGACTGCCTGTGGCCGTGAGGCTGTCCCTTCATACCAACCCTTCCTTCCCGCTAACCAACCCCCGTTACAAACACACCACTTCAACCCTCCCCACCCACAACCCTCCCCTCCCCCTACCCTCTCCCCTTTCCAATACCCCCTTGCAACCCCCCTCTCTCCATTCTTACAATCTTGATGTTAAAAGCGAGGTTAGTCCCGAAGGTCGCGGAGTCCCCAAGGTTGACCAAATCCGGGCTGCCTGTGGCCGTGAGGCTGCCGTCGCTGTTGCCCTCCAAATAGTATCCGTTGGGCGCGCGAATCACGATCTGATTCGAGTCGCTCGGGTTCACCAGGATGGTCCAGAGCGTCTGGTGTGATGGGGAGTATAGGGGGGGCGGGGGGATGGGCGGATAGGGGGATGGGGGGATAGGGGGATAGGGGGAAAGGGGGATGGAGAGGTCAGGGAATGAAAGGGGGAGATGCGGGTGCGGGAGGAGGGGGAGGGGAGGAGAGAGGTGAGGAGAGGAGAAGCACGGGTTGTTTTGGTGAATGGGGTGTGAGAAGATGAGGGCAGGACAAAAGTGAATCAGGGAGACAAGTGGATGGAGGGGGGGAGGGGAGGGGGGAGGGAGAGAGAGGGGAAGGGGCGCGGTGGAGAGGGGGGTTGTGGGGGGGAGAAGAAGGATAGTCAACGACGCGAATGAAACACATAACCG